TGGAGGCGTGCTGATGACAGGAAAGATGAGCGGGCAGAAGAGCGGGAAGCCCCTCGTCGTGTCCCCCCCCCAGCTCTTTCAAGAGACCGGGAAAGAGACCGAGAAAGGGAGAGAGAAGGTGAAAAAGAGAAGTCCTCTTGGAGAGCTGAGAAAGATCGGGAGTCTCTTCGTCGTACCAAAAATGAGACTGATGAAGATGGGTGGACCACGGTACGACGTTAAATCTCAAGATAATGGATTCAGACTCATGTCTCACATAGGTTTGATCCCATTCAAGGATTATTATACTTGTGCGTCAACCAGGCTAAATTGGATTCTTTAATGTTGTTTCACCATAACACAAAAAGCATGAACTTGTATTAATCCTCTATAATAGATTGATCATGCACCGTACCCACAGGAGGTTGGACGACGAGGCCATTTTCTGGAATTTGAGGTGTTGCATTATTTCATCAATCATTTGTTTACAAAAGAGAAAAACTAAAAAATAAATTAAAATGTGAACCCTTCAGGTATGGAGTAACACCTGTATCTTGGTATAGAACTGATTTTTTTTTTTTTTTTTTTTTTTGAAATACCATATTCATTTGGAATGAGGTAAGGTTCTGTTATAGAAAATGTATTTGAAGACTCTTCAAAGCAGGGGCTGAAACAATTTCCACACCATTAGTGGTTGAGACATACCTCTAGATACTTTGAGGTATTTACTATATTAACTACATTTAGAAAGTTTTTAGGTTCACTATAAGTGCAGTAAACATTACAAACATTGGATACAGTGGGATTTTCTGTAGGTTTTACTTGAGAGGTGAGTATAAAGCAATTTGCAGTCATGATTGTAATGACAAGAATACTGCTCAAGTGTGAATCCGAAACAGTTACAGCTTTTAAATTTTAAAGCATTTGGTAAACTGTTGCTGAGTGTTTTCTGTTGCCAATAGCAAACTGCTTTTCCATTAATGGAGAATTCATGCCTTTCAAGCATTTTAAATATGACAATATTTATAAATGTGTGGTTTGGAGGAATTGTTTAAATTCTTTTTCCTAATTTCCTTTCTCTTCAGGATAGATTCTTTGAACAAGTAATTTGTAGTAATGACTGTGTTGACTTCAATTTTGGAGTGTTGTAGCTATGTTAAAGATTAACTATTTGGTCTTATTGAAGCCAACACAGAACTTGCTGCTGTGTTTTTTCTTCAATGATAAATAAAATACTTACAGAATTTGTTTTAGTGTTGATTGATTTGTAGTTACAGTCAAAGTGTTTTATTTATTATGGTGAGTTTACATATCCAGTTGAGTGTGGTTTTGAGTTTTTTGGGCCATTAAATGTCTCAGTATGTAGGATCAAAGAAAATAACCCAAGTATAACAGAGCAGATGTGGCTACGATGTTTCCTTCCATAATTAAGGATCCCCTTAGTTTCCTTGTAATGCCATCCTCTCTGTGAGTTTATATATATGGGGGGTGGGTGGGTGAGTGGTTTACTGTTTCGGGTATTCTCAAATTAGAAACATCATAGTTTCAGAGAATGTTAGTTGCAAATTGATAGTGGCTACAGACATGTAAATTATTTCCAGTGTTGAGTGGTGGGGAGAATTCCTGTTGGTACAGCTATAAGGCCAGAAGAGGGAGTATTGATGCTTCTTTACTTAATCAGATGCAGCGTTTTGGTTTGATGTTACCAGCAATGGAAGCCACTGTTTTCAACATTTAATCTTTTTTTTTTTTTTTAAGAATTTTCTAAATGTTTGTTTATTTTGAAAGAGAGAGAGGGAGAGAATCCCAAGCAGGCTCTAGACTGAGCCACCCAGGCACCCCAACATTTAATTTTCTTAATATATTTAGTATTTCAAAAAGTGGAAATCTTAAAAGATATTTGGGGGAGAAGGCCTTTTCTTTGTAACCAATAAAAGAACTTGGGGCAGTAACCTGCTGAGTGTCCAGACACTAGAGCAGGACTGTACCTGTGACATCACTGATTGGCCCCAAGGCACGATTTATTAGCTGATTAGATGAGTTGTAGTTGCATGTCTGACGGTTAGCCTGCATTTCCAGGCTAGTCTGCAAGCTACTAGGACCCTTTCCCAAATATACGATGCCCCCCAGGTTCTTTGTCCTGGGAGGTGTGAGTCCAGAGCACGGGATAGGGTCAGAAGAGTCAGCTGCTGCTCTGTGGTCCTGCTCTTAAGTTTCTACTCTGAAGGCCTCCCCACCCCAGTTTTCACAGGTGTCAAAGGAAAACCAAACATCCAATCTACTCACTATGTGTAGAATGTCTTCCATGTTTTCGGTGGCATCTGCTTTTTTTAAGGTTTACTTATTTTGAGAGAGAGAGCACATAAGGGGGAGGGGGGCAGAGAAAGGGGGAGAGAGAATCCCAAGCAGGCTGTGTGGTCAGCACAGAGCCTGACCTGAGACTCGAACCCATGAACTGTGAGGGATGATGACCTGAGCCAAGATCAAGAATTGGACACTTAACCGACTGAGCCACCCAGTCTGCATTTTTAAACCAGAACACCATTGCTATTAATACAGGTGAATTCTAAGAGTGGAGACAGTGGCCCAGAAAAGACTACAGCCATCTAGCTGTTTGTATTGGCTTCCAGGAAGAAGTTGGCGTCTACGTATTGGGGTGCTTTTATGTTTTAACTGTGTTTTGTTTTTACCCAAAGACATTTGGACTGTGGATTCATTTTATAATTTTACAAGTCTAATGGACATATATATTGGACACTGGAAGGAATGAAGGAATGTTCCTCGTGCCTAAGCACAGACTAGAAGGTTAGGACTGACACCCAAACTTGCCTGCCCTTTCCCTTGAGGCACGCATATTTGTAGTATAATTTTAAAATACATACATAATTTTGGCTTACTTACAATCTATGCCAAAAGTTGTAATAAAAGTTAATTCTGCAGCTTCTAAAAAGCACTGCATAGGAAAACTAAAATACACAGAAGTTAAAAGCTACTGCAGAGATCTCTACAGAAGAGGACAAGCAAGGTAGGGCAGTCTAGTCTGCCTGCACAGCTGGTAAAGCTCTTTTGAGATTCCATACATTGTTTGATTTTTTTAGCCAAACATATAGCCATATTTTTATAAAAACAAGATCACTTTGTCATACCAATTATTTTATGTATTTTTGAAACTTTGGAAAATTGGATTTCTTTTACCCTAAATAAAAAAAAAAATTTTTTTAAGGTTAAGCATCCGACTCTTGGTCTCGCCTCAGGTCATGATACCGTGGTTTGTGGGTTTATTCCCCAAGTAGTCAGGCTCTGCATTGACAGCGTGGAGCCTGCCTGGGATTCTCTGTTCCTCCCATGCTTGTGTGTGCTGTGTCAAATAACCTTAACAAATTTTAAATTTTAAGTCAACTCTGCCACCAGTGTGGAGTTCAAACGCACAACTGACTACAAGATCAAGAGTCACTTACTCTGCTGCCACTGAGCCAGCCAGGTGCCCCACACCCTAAATTAAATTTTGCAAGTATTTAAAGTTTTAGATCAAGAGGTCTCTAAGTCTGCTCTTAGGTGCATTAGAGCGTGGTCAGATTTTCCCTAAAAGATCTCTAGAAAATGTAACTGTAATGTTTCCTTTTCACGCTTCAACTCCCAGCATTGTAATGTTAGCTGGGAAACAGGAAAATTTGAGGGGGGGGGGGGAGGGGCTGAAACAGGTGCATTTTAAATGGATGAACATGATGGTTGCTGGTCCAGGGTCTTTGGGATACCTTTCTTGATACTCTTCACTTCAAGACTTGAATAAACTCCACGTTGCACATGTTCACAGTTTGGATAAAACAGTGATCGTGTCAATATCAAATCCTTATTAGGCACACCTCATCACTGAGGGATTCTCCTATTGAACGAGCCACGTGCCCGAGATCTAGAAACAGTGTCTAGAACCATTTGGATCTTTGAAAATACAAAGCACTTGCCTGCCTAGTTCTGGGTTGCAGAAGACATGGGCCTGTAGTGATCTTTGGAAAGGTAGAACAGTAAGAAGCTAACGGGAATTCCTACTGACCTGACACCTCCCCAAAACCAAAAGTAAATGGGTATATTTTCTAGCACAATAAGAGAATAATTACATGGTTTTTTATGAAACTACTTGAGTTTAAGACTAGTCCTATCTTAAGTTCTGTGGTCTGGGGCTAGACTAGCAGGAATGGATCTTCTCTTGGCTAATGCACTGTTTGCCAGCACCTCTCCTCCTTGTTCTGATGCCGTTTCCCTCCACCAAAAAAGGCCCCTAGCCTTCCAGTGTTATTTACTCCAGCCTGTATTCTACCTTCAAAGGAGTGTTCAAGCCAATTTGTTGTAGAGGAAATTAGTGGTTTGATAAAAAAACAATCTAACGTAGAGTAGCTCAACTCTCCTACTTGAATCTATATATTTATAACTAAATCTCTTGCTGGTGTTTTCAGATAGTGATGTATTTTGTACATTCATATACGTTCATCCTAATTCACTGTTTTTGGCTCTGTATCTGTCCTGATGGTAGCTGCATGCCATTGTGGGACATCCAGCATGGATGTAAAAATAAGGGTGCGACATAAAGTAGGGATTAAGGATGTTTGCCTAAAGATCGGGTCTAATCTCCTTCAGATAAGTGGTGGGATTCCAGAAACAGACTAGGGTCTTTGAGGGAAAAAGCACGAGGGTGGCCATGTTCCTGGTCTTCAACCCCCATTCCACAAGTAACTCCTTTAGTGCTTATTCTGGTTTGAAGACTGCCTGTGCCTCAAGCCAGACACAGCCCATAGTGGAACCTTCTTGAGCACAGGTTATTACATTAACCTTCTGCAGCTCAAAGGATTGCATCTTCCATTTAGTTTGAGAGGCAACAGCTGGAATGAGCTTTCCACTATTAAGGAACCTTGAAACTGATGAGCAGGGTGACTAAATACTGCTCCCTTTTGATCTTACAAATGTTTTTCAGCAATTGGAGATGGGGAGGTGGGTGCATATGGACAAAAGGCCAAGTAACAAAGTTATAGGCAAGATTAATGAATTCATATACTGTTACTGTATAAATACACAAGTCAGGTTTTTTAAACAGCACCAATTTCCAAGTGTATACACAATAAGATTTTAACTTGGCACAATTTTTCAAGGTGGAAAGACTAGTTCCTAGTTCGGTAATAAAAAGATCTGGTACATAAAACGATAAGGAGCTGTACTCTACCTGCTACAGATTGTACATTTTTTACACCTCCAGCCAAGACCGAAACAAGCCACAAGGAGGGAGTAACCCACACAAATCAATACTGGAAAGTTTACTAAACCTTCACTTCTCAAAACAGTGATGCTGCCAGGGCTTGCTTCACCTGGAATTAGAATAACTGATTTAAGGACAACTAAGAAATTGTTTCAAACAATAAAATAGTCAATTTGCCGACATTCCATAAAATCGTCAGTTTCAAGTCCAGTTATGAGGCTTTTAAAAAAATATTCTAGACCTAGTAAAGTGCCTCCATAAAATTAAACATCCGAGATTAGATGGAGACACTTCATACTGATGCGCATCTAAAATAGATCGACGTATACCGTAAATAAACAGCGCCACTAAGTTGCCATATTTCAGGTAGTGGAATACACACCCAGCCTTCACCGTCTGGATGTGCACAAACTGGAAACTATAGACATAAACAAATCAAGATGTTAGCGTCTAGTCTCAACCGCTCTTCGACAGGAAAGTACTCCGTACGGCCGGCTTGCTTTGACAAAACCAAGACTTCTTCCCAAGCTGAGCCAACTGCTGATCTCCAAGCCTCTCCCACAGCGAGGGAAAGACGGTGCGCAGACCAAAAATGAGAGAGCGGGCAGGCGGTTGACCCTGGTGGCGTCAGGTGGGGGCAGACGGGAGCCCAGGCGCTCAGCGTAGCTTCTTCCCCGGCTGGCAGTCCCTGGCGCTGCGCGGCGGCGGGCGGGCGGCGGGCGGCGGCGGCACTTTGGAGAGCGGGCAGTACTTGATGGTGTGCGCGTTGTCGCCGCTGGCACCGCACAGGGGACACGTGTAGCGGCGCAGCACCGGGCACAGCACTCGCCCGTCGGGTCCCTTCAGGATGTGGGTGGTGTAGAGCGCCACCGCCTCCTTGTTGTTCCGGCAGAACACGCACACCTGCAGCTCGGGCTTGAGCAGTCGGGCGGCGGCCGCCCCGGAGGCGGCGTGCAGCCGGGGCTCGGCCGCCCACG